TGTGGATGAGTCATGGCCATTGCTTGGCCAACGTGCTCTCTGTGAAAGCCTGAGAGAATATTTTCTCTCCATGTGACTCTCCTTAGGCACACTCTACATCACTGATCACTTTCCTCTTTGGCCCCATAATCTCCCTGATCAGAAAATTTGGGACACTACAGAGTTACATGACGTTACAGTACAGGTTCTCATATGTCCTGAGTCTTAATTGACCTTGGAAAGCTAGGGCCAAAATGTTGGCTTTCCTTGCCCTAATCCAGCTTTGAATCAACTTAACCAATAAGAGCCATTCTTTTATTAATAAAATATGCTTCTGTTTTTTAAGAAATGAAAACCATAATTGTGGTTCTCATCTTATGCTTGACCTATCTTGCTTGTTGTTTTTCCTCGGTGTCCATACAGCAACAAAAACAAGCACTATTATTTCTAGCCAAATGAAGTACGTGCTAGAGAAATGCAGACATCTTAGCAGGATTCTTCAGTTGTGGTAAACATTAGAGCATAGTCCATTTTTTGCCCAACCGAACGTTCATTTCCTTGTCAAGCATAAGTTTCTTACCTTAATCTTACTGGACATGTGTTCTTATTCATGGCGTAAGGCAGAGGTAGTAGACTGGAGGCTTATATTCAGGAGTTGTAGTTATTATTGTACAGCCACAGATGAGTCACTCAAAGTAATAATTCTTTTATCAGAAAGCCTAAAATAATTTTATTATTAATAACTGGATAGAATTTTGAGACCTTGAAAATAGGACACTTTATAAATGCTTCTTATTATCATCTAACTTCTCTAGGATCTATTAAAACAGTCTAAAAAAAACAGTCTACAAACTATACTGAGCTTTCATGGGATAAATAAAAGTAGCTGTCAGATTTTGTGAGCACAAAACAACCCAGGGCTCAGCCTTCACACGATAGTGATGGTTCCATATGAACTGCACTTGTTTGGATGTTCTTCCCTTTAATTAACTCCTTTTTCATTGCGGTTAATCTTATCCAATTAAATATTCACTTCTGTATTTGTTTTTGTTTTACATTGACCTGGCATCCATTATAATTTTTAAAAACTGTAAAGCCAAAGGTTAGGGTTTCCTTTTTAAATCTTACTCAATTAAATCTCTTTGAGAAGATTCTGTGTAAGATGGGAGTTGTCTTACCTATTCTTCAACTTCTTACCTAAAAATAAAATAAGTGAATGAATGAATGAAATAACATTTTTTTTCAAACTTCAGTGCAACATTTCCAAATTAAACTTGACTGCAGAGCCAGTGCTCATATATGAAAGAAAATTCTCCATTAGATATTTAGCCTCCTTTTAGGGAAGTGTCATTAGCAAAAGTCAGCTTAGTACTTTTGTTTGATTAGTTCATTAGACCTGACACTAACGTAATGGCTATATTTCCTTCTTCTATGCACTGCAAATGAAAGGACTAGAAGAGTTGAGTCAGTGGTGTTACAAGGATTTCTGCTGACACTAACCTGCTGAGCCATAGAGTTCTAAGTGTCCAGAGTACCTACAGGTACCACAAATGTGATAAGACGATACGTTCCAGAGGTGATAGTTGTCCTCTCTTTATTGCCAAACTTTTTCTTCTAAAAAGTTTTAGTGAGCATTTTTATATATAAAAGACTGTTAAGCCTTATGGAGAATAACTAGATTTCTTTTATGAACTGAAATGGGAACATATACGCCCTGTATTAATACACATGTCCCCTGTATCTCTACAAACATGCGCTCATTCA